AATTGGTCTTATGTTTACATCCAAGCACTTGCACAAGAAAGGAACTGAGTCAACGAATTTATGTGGTTCTCGAAGAAGTTGCCTCTCGACTCTAACCGTGTGCTAAAAACTCTGGGATGTTCCATTCGGTTTGGACATGGTGACACTACAAGACGCCTATTCAATGAGCCGCACACCTCAAGGTCAACTTTTGAAAGTCCAATTTTATGGTTTCTTGTGTAGTAAAGACACCGGTGCAGCCATTTTGCTTTGATTGTGAGTCGTGTGCATATCTCATTGGATCTTTTGGTTGATGGTTGCTTTTCATTTTTTCCCTGTCTTGCAGGTCATTTAGAAACCCCTCCCCACAGAGAACCATCTGTGAGGTGCGTGTCCTACCTGCTGTATATTCAGAGCGTCAGTGAGTGGCCAGGAATTGTGCGCGGCCTTTTTGGGGACGACTTCGATTATATAAGAACTTGGACTGCGTTGCCCGGAGTCAATCTACCAGTGTTTCGAATGGATTGAGAACTTGGGTCAGTCCTGCGTACTACATTAGAATATATTTAGTTCCTTCAGGATTATTGGCAATAAGTGAGTGGTTTACAGGAAAATAATTTATCAATTTATTTAGACTAGAGAATTTTCATCAATCGGCCTATTTACTGTGCACTGAATGGAAAAAAATGTTCTTTTTAGCGTATGTATGTTTCAACTGGCAAACACTCATAAAACAGGAATCATTTATTTGAAAGGATGAATACCCGTTCTGCTTTGCATCAAACATTTTCTAAATTTGAGCCGTACATTTCGAACTACCACAATAATCGAGATCGCGCAAATTAAAACGGTGATAGAATAGTACGACGAACATAGAAGTGGAAAATAAGGTTCGGAAAAAATACACTTCATCCATAGTCACCAATATATAAGTATGCTATTGGAAAGTGAATTGTATTTCCGAAATGAGAAACCGGCTCGACAGTCGTGAAGTTGCGCATGTCAATTCCAATCAGGTGCGGGCACAGGTGATGTGCCTCCAAAGCATCAAAACTTCCGGTCCCGACGGACGATGTCCTGTCATACTTAGAGAATGTGCATATTAGCTGACTGATCCATTCGCCAGTAATTTCAATCGTTGATTCGAGGAACAAAAGTGTTGTCCACTGTCGGAGAACAGAATGCATCATGCCAGTCCCATGAAAAAATACTGGGAAATTTGAATCAATCACCTGCACTACAGGATTACTCAAAATGTTTCGAAAGTTTATAATTAGTAACATTATTCTTAACGCTGAACACTTAGGTCGTAGACGATTAGCTTATTGTACATCACATCTGGTAGGGGGAACTACCGAAAAACAAACGCGCTCCCTATCACTGATAGCTGAGCGATTTCAATCCAATCCAAAGTTCGATTTTCGCGGTGCGGTAGGAATAAAGCAAATATCAATTGAATGCAACCACAACGAAGGTGGGTCCAGATGAGACAATAACTTTAAGCTCATCCAACATTTTCCATTGGAATCCAGTCAGATAGCCGTATTTAGGCTGCAATGATTATTCGCGCGTCGCACAGTGCTACTCACGTTCAAAGATACATATTTCACATCATGCTGAAGTGCTCAGTGTGCAAAATACATCAGTTAGTCACGTCTTTTCAGGTATGTAGCAGGATAACAAGTGATGCGTTTATTGATCGCGTGACTACTGCCTCATTGCGCTGAGAGATAAGTGTACGCAATGAACTGTTTAGGTTGACAACACAGATATCAATGTTAATTTTGTTTGCATTTTCAGGTGAAACGTGAAATGTGACTTGGCATGCATCATATTCTCTCTCAGTTTGTAACTGGTTTCAGAAAGGAAACCCTGTGCCGGTACACTGGGCTGAAAGATACCAATCAAGCTCCTGTTGGATTGTTTGGCACCAAAATCAGTGTTTTGAAATAAAATGAAAGACAGGTTTAGACTATTCACTATGTATTGTGGCTGTTGATTTCAATCGTCTCGATATTTCTATCCTAAGAACTTTAGGTTTGGTTAATCGTGTGCACTTACCCACTCGTTTGGAGGTCGAGCTTGATGACATTTGCGTAAGTACCCCAGATGTCTTCTGTAAAAAAAAAACAAGCCCCTATTAGCATTTCCGACCATTGTACAATTCTTTTGCACCAAAATATCTATGGTAAAATGTTTCACCGACAACAAGCACAGGTGGAATCCCAAAAAAATAATTAGGAGGAATTTTACCCATAATAACTTATCTCGACTCCAAGATATGATCTCTTCAACCGATGTTTCTGTCTTCTCCAATTCAAATAATTCTTCCAGATGTGAAAATCTCAGCGGCTACCTAAATTTCTGTTTTGATTTGTGTTGCCCAATCGAGACATTATATATCCGTACCGACGGATTCTCATCGCCTCTCCTAAAACGCCTTCGACGTAATAAGACGAATAAGACGAATAGCAGGCGCTACGATGTTAAATGACCCTCGGTTATCATCAAGGCAGAGATTCAGCGCTTCAATCGGATGTATGTTGAGACCATCCTGGATAACCAGAGCTATCACGAGATGTGGTTGGCGTTGAAGCAACTCTGTGGCACATGAGGGAGCTCCTGTCCTGACGTAGAAGAATTAAACCGACATTTTTCTGTCTCCTATGGGTCCAATTCTCTACCGTCCGCTTTAAATTCATCAGAAAACACCAACCCTGTTTCTCCGTCCGAGGTTCTCAAAGTTTTGAAGCACTTTAAGTCAAACAAGACCCACAGAGCGGACTCATTAGCCCCTGTTTTATTGAAAACCTGTGCCGAACACCTTGAAACACCCGTTGGAGAGTTGTTTAATTGGTGTATTTCCTTCGGAACAATCCCTGATTGCTGGAGGGCTGCTCGGATAAGACCCATTCCCAAGAAGGGTTCTTCAAAATATCGACCCATTGCATGTACCTCAGCCCTAGTGAAGGTTTTTGAAAGAGTGCTGTTGAACCGTTTAACTACCCTCTCGGATGCTTCTTTCCACCAACTTCAAAGCAGTCTGAATGACGTTTTTAGTTGATCTCTACCCCGATCACTCTTGCTTAATGTTTCCAAATGTATCAACTTTTCCTTCAGCCTTAAATCTGGCTCTCGCTATCAAACCACCTTTATTGATTTACCGGATCTAGTAGTTAATAGTCACAGCATTCCCAAAGCTGACTCTGTTAAATACCTTGGAGTCGTTTTATCCCACAATCTCTCTTGGACCTTACATATAGAGAACGATTACAAGGTTCGTAAACTCTCTTTTTATGCTTTCAGGCTTAGGAAGCTTGCTGTTTCCTCAAACGTAATTTTCAAAATCGTGGTATCATGCATCCTCCCTCATTGGCTCTTCTGTTCCCCTGTATTTTTTCCCGGCTTAAAAGAAAAAGATTTCGTATTAATTTTTAGGTTTGCACAGGTTAGTTACCAAATCCTCCAGCGCGGTTGAAGAGATGCGGTTAATGATGGTCGGTCCACGTCAAAACAGTTGGAAATCTTTCTTTAGGAGATTGGAAGAAACAACAGATACACAATAAAGTAAAAAAAGAAGAAGAAGAACACATTGATACAGGAATTTGGAAATAGTCAATTGCTTAAATACGAAACTGACAAGGTTGACGGATATGAGAAGAAAGTCGTCGAAGCTCACTGACAATGTGTTGAATGTGACAGATCCAGTCAAGATCAGTATCAATAAAAACACCCAGGTATTTAATACAGTTTACCCGGGATACTGGTTCAGAGTCAATCTATACCGGTTCAGATGGGAAAGATGAACGTAATAATGAAAAAAGATATTAGAGACATTGGCAGAAATGAACAGATAGACCAGGTGTGGCGGTAAACTGTTGAACGTTATCCAATTTGTCAGAAAATTGTGAAACACTAGAAGAATCGGAGATGGCCTGACATAAAACCACTTTTTCATGGCATTTGAAGAGAAAAGTGGGGGCGCTAGCAGACAAGTCACTAATATACGTAGAAAATCAGTATAAAGGGAAAAAGCTACACCTTGAAGTACCCCGGAATTGTTCATTAATGATTTGTGATCGTATGTATGCACAATTCAAACACTAACAATACGAATATGGAATACTTCTCTCTCTCTCATCAGTAACTTGAAGCTTAGTCTGATAAAAATCCTTCATGACAAAGACCCAGAATGATACCCCCGGCAGCCATATCAACCATCTAACTCACACAATTCACACATACATATGATCCTTATATGGTTCGATCGAGCGTTACAATTAACTTTTGGGTGCAACTGTACAAACCCTGTAATGGATGATCGGAAAACGGATAGTTTCAAAATTTGGTCATCATGATGTTTTATTACTTTCTCTCTCAATTCAAACACGGGAACTTCAAACGTTTGTGATATCTAACAAACCAATAAGAAGGCTGAAGAGCATTGTTGAATATCACACGATCTCTGTGCTTCCAACGCTACATCCAATATTTATTCGGATATTTTGTCACTTGAAAAAGACGGAATAAACCGGTGCACATAGAATTGAAGTTTTACAGCTTTGCTTCGATGAATCATCAGAAGCTTGCAATAAACTTTACTCATCAGCTATGTCATGAATAGGTCGCATATGAATTTTCTGGTAAAAAAACTGGAAATTTACAATGGCAATCGATAGACTACTGGGAAGATATAGACCAACCGTTTGGGAATAGAAAAAGAAAACCTATGGGTACCTTGAAATGAATCGAAAGGAGCGGGATAGAAAAAACAAACACAGTTAGTTACCTGAGTGAAATCGCGATCTTTGGGAAAGTCAATATTTGTTTGATATATGTTGTTTAAGTGAATTACTGCGGGAGTTTTTTTTCCCGCGTCACTTTACTCACCAACTGCAATCTGTACAAAACGTATGGCCATAAAGTTTTCGCATAAATGCTGTTTGAAATGGACAACTCAGCTGGTCATGCAGCATTTCTGATTCGGATTACTATTTCACATAATTTCGATCAATGTATTATTATATATAAATGTAGGAAAATAACTGTGTATTTGTCGAAGTGGCATCCAGAACTGTCGGAATTGGAAGAGTGTGTAAAATCTTTGGACCGTATAGGGTACTGTAGAATAGCATTTCCAGTCCAACTGTGACTTGACGTCTCCACTGGGGTTCTGAGAGCACGTATTGATTGGGACGGGCCAATAGATGCTTTACAAATGCGTACCGTCTGGTCAGAGACCAACAGTATGCACGTCCACGAGGTTGACGACCTTCAAGTACGTGAGAGTAACCGAACACGGCACAACCACGTTTGGAACCATAGATTTGAGTCATATAACCCAATGCATTAAATGGAGTAGGGTACCAGTCAGTGCCAAGTGGTCGAAAAAGGAGAGGAAATACCAAACTTTTTATCAGAATTTTATCCGGTTTTTTAATGTTTGAAACATCCCAGAAATGGGTACTGTTACTCTCAAAATATCCAATATCCAGATACGGCCAAGCCCAGGTGAAATTCGAGGTGATACGACTAAGTGGGAGATCCAAATCGAGTTGAGAAGAGTTCATGATTTTTGTGTAAAACTTGTCATGTTGAGAATTCGTGTTTATTATAAACTCCGGTTCTAATGTGCGTAACAATTGCAATACTTGGGGACGAACAGTCATGTCAACCAGAACGTCCATATCATCATCCCACGGTACTAGATCATGGTGCTGATATGAGCCGACCAGAGTCCCACCGTTCAGCATGAATCGATCACCGAAACCGTTGGCAAACATCAAATTGGTGAAAATTTTAAGTAATTGTTTGGACACATTTCGTTGACCGCAACTCATCACCGGATCCAATGGTTTTGGCAATCGAACCACATGATACGGTCCGAACCGGCTACCGGTGGGAATCGATGCGCACGGAGATTTTGGCCAACTGATTTTCCGCAAATCGGGCAACTGATCCCACTGATTCTCATTAAAATGAGGTTTTACAAAAAATGGATAAATGGAAACACGCTTGGGTTTGGGCGAATTCCCTCGGTTGTATAACACTACGACAGTTAGGACGAGACCGAGTAAGATGTAGAACAGGCGTCTTTTGTTCACTGTTATGGTATAGAGGGACGGAAAAATCTGCAAGGATAAAAACAATATGGTCTTGTACGGTTACCACGGAACAGAACACTAATTTTGCCTAGCTAACGCAAACCAATAAAGCTAAAAACATAGTACATGAATTGCAACAAAAAAATATATACAGTATGTAAGTTCACCGCAACAACGAATGCACAGAGTGGTCGAATGAATAGCCCAGAGAAATATTGAACAACTGGTCAAACAGATACTAAGATGACCCAGTTGAAGCCCTCATTCGGGACAATTTGGATGAAAAAATCAAGCAGCAGGTTCGGAAGAATAAAGTCAATGGTTTCCAGGTGACGGCTGCAACTCAGTTGACCTGGTCACGGTTGTGTGTGTTTGACCTAGCTAACTTGTTCTGTTGCACTAATAAAACCTATGTCCCGTCCGTCTGATTTCTTCTTACAACGTGTTGTAGAACAAATCGGCAGTTCTAGGTTGGTCCTAAACATATGTATGTTTTGAAAACAACATGATGGTTTGGTTTCCATATCAATGAACGCGAAATATCTTCTTTTTCACAAAGTTGCGCCCATCCAGTACAACTTTTGACTGGATCTAAATCTCGCCAATGGAGTTCGACAAATATGCATCTCGGAGGAGCTCTAATGTGAGTTACAACATATGGGATGGAAGGTTGGAAGGTTGATGGTCAATCGTCGGAGTTTATTTGGAGGCACGGCACACATGGTCAGACGAGAACTTCAGCAGAAATATTTGTGGTCAAATTTGGAATTCTGCGAGTAATTGATGAGGTTAATCGGCTGAAACGTACTAGACTTATTCAGGCGGTTTCTCTTACTGTCTTTGCTGCATTCCCTAATTTAAGATACATCACAGACTGGACTTCAATGCCATCTGTCAACACGCAACTCCCCCTAACCCACCAAAAAAACGTTTCCCATCAATTTGAATGATATTACGTGGTCACCTATATCACAGGAACGGAGATACAGTTACGTTAAAGGAGCGTAAATGCGTATTCCGAAATATGTTGTTCTCGAGGACACCATGGTAGGTATTACTCTATCAAAGCCGAAAATAAATCTGAAACAAAAACTGCTGCGTCACCAATAGCGTGGCATGTGTTTGCAACTTGCTGTTAGGTTAATTGTAGTTCACTTATTCAGAAATACCCATTCCGCCAGAAAGTCAAACTTACCACAACGGGCAGAGATGATGGAGATTAAGTGATGCATACTATACTTGCGCCAACAGGAAGAACTTTATTTTATCTGTTTACATGTAAAACTGTTTCCCCTTACAATTAGCTTAATACTGCAATGAGCACCGATCGAAACACCTTGAAGTCATTCTGAAACAGCAGCGTGTCTGAAGTTCCGGCATCGGTGGTAATTTTTGGAAGGCGTTCCACTGAAATATGCAAAAACGTTTTGATTGCTCGGCTTTCTGGACACAGAACGATACTTACCCATAAAAGATATTTATAAAGAGACNCAGACAGACAGACAGACAGACAGACAGACAGACAGACAGACAGACAGACAGACAGACAGACAGACAGACAGACAGACAGACAGACCGCAGATGTTTTGTAGCCGATTGAGTAGTACATTTACGACCTTCGTATGATTTAAGTATGATTCCCCGGAAATGCATGCCTATTTTCAGTTTTTTCATCCAACTTCGGTTGTTCTGTGCAAAAAAATGTACTTTCTACTTGTATTTTGGAACTGATCAAATCCTTTGATTTGAGATAGTTCTCTGCTTTTGTCGNTGAAATTGACCGTGTTCCTCAAAAGTATTGCTCACGTGACAGCGGCGGTGTTTTGCTACCACCATCACAACCACAACCACCACCACGAGCACCACCACCACCACCCTTTCCACTATTTTGCCTTAGATTACAGGTATGCCCCGATGAGTGCGATCTGTAATTTATAGTTTTCTGCCGGAGGTCTCCCATTCCTCGCCATTGGTATTATAACTTGTACCTTTTACATTATTTTCTAGCAAATAAATTTCATCCCAGTTTGCGACCGGTTCTTAAGTAAATGTGACTGGGTATAGAGAAAAATTTTATCTGGTGGAATTAGCTGATATCCTGAATCACTCTTATACCATCCTCTACATTTGATATGTTCCTATCAATGGGCAACATTAAAACCCTCTATTACCAGTAATGTTCTGCAATTGTTCTGTTACGTTCACCTAGCCACAGTCAGGGAAGCGTACCCTAGAGAAGACGGTCACTACGATTAGCAGGAAATCTGTCTTATCAGACAAAGTGTCCCAGTCAGCAATAGAAAATCGCTCATACTAAACAGAACCCTCATAGAGGATGAAAAATAACACCTGTGGATTGCGGGATATTCGCGATCCTGCTAGAGCTACTTTCAAAAGCACAAAATTAAGCGGTTACAGAGGACGAGAAGCTGAACTAGAATAGTTGATATGTCTAAACACTGGGTCCGAAGATCAATGTGGAATCCTTCCAAACAGATGAAACGTTATGCAATCGTGATGGAATTTGTTGTAACGCACACGGAGAGCATCGAATCAGACCGAATACACAAAATCAATGGACAGGATGTCCCAAACAGTAAAGACTCACATTGTGTGGAACGCGCTGAATGCCCCAAGGGCTATTGTTAATAAACCGCTGGGACCAACTCAACCCGTGCGACAGAGTAGAAAGACTAAGGAGTAATTTTGCCATCGTCGATTTACAACATATCCTGAATTCTAGGGCCAACGCTGACACGAGCTAAAAGCAGAAAGCTGGTACCTGAACTTCCAAAATAATAGGTCAGTGGCCTGAACAAAACCTGAGCACAATGTTCTTTTGTTCGTCTCAGTCAAGATAAGCTAAGCCAAAATTACCGAAAACAAGTACAAGAAACTTCCAACAGATTTGATATCATCGTGTAGTACATAAACACACCGAAACTTTTAATAAAACTCTCAAAGTGGACTTGGATGGCAAGTTGCAGACTCAATAGATCTGTGAAACCATACCCGAAGGAATAGGCTCTTTCGATGAGCCTTTATAACAACTGGAAAAGTGGGAATCAGGCACCATTTCGTTGTATTTCTACGATCCTTACTCAGGAAGAGGGACTAACTTTTGTGACAACTTTCGTCTAAGCTCCACACAATTCGGCAGGTTACGTACTTTTTCATGAGCATTCCCAATCTGTGATTATATATTGTGAAAATTAATGTGCAGAGACAAATTAGCATTAAATCAGAAAAAGAAATGAGTCCCTACATCGAGATATACAGACATAGTGGACGGACTTAGCACTCGAGACACTATTCAACTCCCTCAAAACAAAACTGGAGGGACCGTTACAACCCTGGTTGGCGACCTGGAACTAATTATAAAGAACATGAATGAAGGGGGGGAGTATTAACTGTTGATGTCCGGTTGAAACCGGCAGAGATGAGACGGTAACAAAGTTCAGTCTCAGTTTGTCTAACCATCATTCATCATGGACTTTCTTGCAGCCATACTTGTTTCTCTCTTATGGATACCCATTTGTAAGAAAGAGTAGCGAGTAGATTGTCAAGAGCCTTCAGAAAACCAAAGATTCATCAAATGCTCACTAGCGTCGCTTTTTTACGACTCTCAGACGTATCGCTTGTGGTTTCCGATCATTGTTCAGGCTGATCCCGAGGTTCTCACGTCAGTAGAGTAACGGTATCCGTGTGGGTTCGATTCCTTGTTTTCATACTCTAGAGTCAGGTCTTAGTTTCACCGCCTTTGAATTTTCCTCCTACTGACTTCCTCTGCAAACATCGCACGCCGTGGTGATATATTTTTGACTACTACTACCGAATAACGCAATCTGTGGATGTCCACCTCTTTCCTCGGTGGACGATCGCGAGTACCTGAAACTCTGAGTCAAACCTCAGTCTTGTTTGTTCGATTTATCCACCAAATTATCGGGATCTTAAATTCAGAGCGAACTTTTTCCGCATACTTTACATCCAAAGTCTCTTACCTTGGCTTAGGGCTATTCAGCTTGGGAGAGCTGGAGCAGACCAACGAAACACAAAGATATCTCCCATCGTCAGGAGAGAAAACTCCAGTTACCTTGCTCTTCCATCCCTCTAGCGGTTATCTATTAGCACAATGTTTCTCCTTCTGATAATCTTCTGGAGTGACCTCTCCAGNNNNTGAACAATCAGCTAGCTTTGTTAGATTGAGATTTTTCTGGCTTGTATCAATCAGGCATAGCTGGATTTGATTTTTAACCAGTGTCAGCGTTTTTTTTTCAGATATTCCTGTTCTGGAATTTTGATAATTTTCACCAAATCTACACAGAAATCGACGAGCCCATTGCGCATTGCTGGTTGAAA